TCACACCTCTTGCTTTCCACACACTTCTAACCCATTTTCTGTCTAGATCAGCTAGTTTGGTTTCTTGTATCAATACAATGTCAGGCCTTTCCTTCTTTAACAGATCTTTTATCACCCTCCTCTTTTTTGCACTTCCTAGACCCCTCACATTCCAGCTAATGATCTTCATCAACTCGATTGTAGAAAGATACCCTCCACACCTTCCATTTTCCTTCACTTTAGAGCCTTCCTCCTCTCCTCTCTTCCACTAAATTCTAAGTCCCCTTCTATGTCCGAAATTAATCTTTCCACCTCGGACCTTTTCTTAGTCCCCTTCTATTCATAATGTTGTGGACATTATATGGGAAGATTCCTTATGAAACATCTGCACTGAAATTAATAGTTCTGGTAAATGACTAAGCCTATTGTTCTTGTCATCTCTGCCTCTCCTCTCTCTCTCTCTGTGAATGTATTGTATTGTAATAGCCAAAAATTATACAGTTCATCATCTGTCCATGTACATTGAGAAGTTGTATGGTGGGAATGTAGAAGAGTTTTCCTTTTGTATAAAATATCATGCAAACAAGGATTCAGTATTGAAAAAGAGTTAAACTGAATTCCTTGGGTATGGCTTCTGTATACTTAGTCGTGAACATAACTTTATTCCTTTTCACTGCTGTCAATTCATTTTCTTTGTTTTCAAAGATGTGTATTTTTCTCTCCTTCCACTCCACCCAGATAACAGCAGCTGGTAATATTCTCCATAATGCCTTCCCCCTACTGCTTAGTCCCTGTAATCTCCACCATTGAAAAAGAGCTAATAGAGATTCAGGTAAGCATCCCTTTTTTCTGTAATAAGATGTCTAGGGTGTCCTATATGAAAGTGGGAGAGTGATCAGACATGTATGGGAGATAGTGCAGGAATGGTTCTTACAACCACAGGAACATGGGTGAAATGCTCAAAATGAGGAAGAAAATATCATCAAAATAGAGGATAACCAAGTAGCATGCATGCAGTTTTAAGATCAGCTCAAATACATCCAGACTACCGAAATTTAAAAGGCACGCCTAGGCGTACAGGTGAGGCACATTTTAGGGCATGCACCTTGCCTAGGTAAAGGCGTGTGCATGGTGCTCTTAGGCGTGTGCCTTTTTAAATTTTGTGCTTTTTTTTCGAACCTAGCTGTTGGGCTAGGGTGGGCCCTTGGCCAAGCCCCTCGAGAGTCGAGACAAGCCCAGAACTTCTATTTGCTGGTGTTGTTTATTCATTCATCCTAATAAAATATCTTCTTAAAAGGCAATTAAAATTATAAAATCATTATTTTTTGTGTGAGGATTAAGAATTCAAGATCCTAACCTGGACTTTTTTGGGCTTTTCTCGAGGGGCTTGGTACAAAGGCAGCTCATAGAATCAGGAATGCAATATGCTTTACATCACACTAGCTATTTGAAGTAATGTAATTGAGGAAAAAAGAGATTGTGGGTTTTACATGGTTGAAAATGTTTTATATGTTATTTATCAAAAAAATGTTTTGTATGTTTGATTTTATTTTAAAATTTTTCATTTGGATATGCTTTACCTGTTATGTTTATGTATTTTAATTTTAGATAATAGGTTTTTAAAACATTTATTTAAAATTTAAGTTTATATTTTTTATTAATATTTATGTTTAATATTTTTATTTCTTTATTTTTTGACTTTTCTGACATTTATTTTGATTTGTATTTTTGCACCTTTCTTCAAAATGGTGCACTCCTTGCCTTGCACCTCGGGTGCAAATGAAATTCGCCCACCCATTCCGCACCTCATCACATGGACTCTATGGGCCCAACACTTACACTAAGTGGTCCCTGGGCCAAGCCATCTTATAAAAACCCAAGGACTGTGAGCAGATGCAAGATTAGCCCATCAGGTATAACCCTAAATGGCCTTACAGTTAACCTCTCAGCCCATAATGATCAAACACTGCCCGACAAGAGAGGACCTCTCCCTCGGTTGCAAGGAACAGTGTTGCACTCTCTGCTCACATGGATCCCGGGAATTAAAACCATTTGCAAAAATTATATATATATATATATATATATATATATATATATATATATATATATATATATATATATATATATATATATATATATATAAATTTTGCAAAACAAAATTCCAATGATTGAAATCAACTGCCGGCAGTTTGGTTTCCATCAGAGAGAGTGTATCCCCGATCATTACCTTTGTCCAACAAAGGGGTTGATCCTGTCACTATGATCACCTACTCGGACGAATTCTCAGATTGTCCCAACATACCCAGGTTTTGACCCCCGCTAAGGATCTCACTGATTGGCATATCAAAGACAACCCAATCTGACACCTAGTGCAATATCATAATCGAGTTTAAGGGTTAGGTGTAACTTTCCAGTTTTGCCCATCAATCTCCAAGGTCCAGGGCAATACTGGAAATCTGGTCCGGTTCAAAGATTAAAGTAATCCTACACTGCATGCGCCTTGGGTCTCACCCTGGCGGCTGAGACAAACCACCCCAACATTTGGCAGCACACCAGTGTCAGCCTTGGCAGGATAAATCTCCCCAGACTTATCCAACGGTTGTGAACATTCTAAACTAACACGAGTCTCATTAAGTGTCCAGTTTATGGGTCTTACACAGAAACATACCACACAACATGAATCAAACATGCACTTTATTCATTTATACTAAATGTTTAAAGTACATCAAAACTGATTGGAGCTAAGGGCATACAAAACTGTCTAACAGCAAATTGCTCCTTGTGCTTTTTTTTGCACCTTGTGCTTTTAAAACATTGACCCAAAGCCATCTAAGAAGAGGCTGGTTTCTCCAGCTCTAAGGGAGAGCATTGAATTTTCTAATAACCTCAGCAAAACTTCTGCCAAGAGGCTTACTTGAATGGAACCTCGAAAAATGTTGCTATATTATCATCATCAACATTAGCAAAGGTCAAAGAGTAATATAAAATAGGCATTTTCTAAATCACCTCATTATAGAAGCAAGCTTAAGAATGCAAGCAATTTTCTCTGGAAAATAATCTTACCTGGCTTTCTTTTTCTTTTGTTTTTTTTGGCATTTGTTGTTTCAGCATATTGTTCACAGCATGAAAGACCCAAGCGTTGCAGCTTTTTGGTTGATAACAATGCCTCAAATTTTGGGAGGATTCAACTACGATGAGGATGTGAAGCAAAAAATTTGGTGGCAATACAAGGTTGGTCTGTCCTTTTCTTTCCCATTTCTTGACTTCTAGTAACATTTGTTTTTTTTTTTTTGAGAAAATATTACTTGTACTCAGAACTTCAATGGAGGAAAGGATGTACATGAGATGATGTACACGAAAGGACCATGAAACATGAGATGATGCACTAGTAAACTTTGCTAATACCTTACAGATAAAAGAAAACTCTGCCAATTACTTTCAGCTAGATTTTTTATACCTGATTCATGCCTTTCATATCTCATCATAGTTGCATAAGGCATGGCAGTTTTTCTGTTGAGCTATACCTGTTACACATGATATATTTTAAATGATTTTGGGACCTATGCAATAGGCAAACATGCATGTCTCAGATATGGTTTATTTTCTTTTTTGTTTTTTGATTGCTAACTGTAAAATTTATTGATTCATATAAAAGAATGCCTGATGTACAACATACCAAGTATCTCCTTGGAATAGGCTGGCTAGGTCCCTTTGCACTGACTTTCTGTTTGCTCACTTATCTTACAATTGTGATTTGTGCCTAATACAGCTGTACCCTATTAACCCCAGGTTTAGCCAGTGCACCAGCCAACTTATTTTTCCAATCTTTTAACACAACGAAATGTTGCATTCCGCTCCCTTGCCACTTGCCATCTGCCTGATTTCCCTCATGGTGTATGTCTATTGCACATCTCAGATATGTTTTACTGATATAAGGTGTTTGACATTGCTAGAGTCGGCTGTACAGGGGTAGTTTGGTCATTTTATTTTATATTAAGAGTCTGGTGTAATGTCTTTTATATTCTGGTTTAAGTACTATGTCCCATACTTTATCAGGGGCATAAGTGTCTTTGTGCCTTTTAATCAGAAACCTATAAATAATAGCTGGCCAACTAGAGAATTCTCTCTTCTCTCTAGTTCGAACCAGTTTTCTCTCCTTCTCTTTTTTCTCTTTTCTCTGCTATTATAGGGCTGAAACCAGTACAGATTAGTCCTGTAATAGACATGGTGGGTTTGGAAAACCCAGAAGCTGATACTTGCAAGTGGTGGCATGTGCCTGACGAGTTGATGTGATGTGGTTTTGATCATTAACAAATTCTTGAAATTGAGTTGGTTAAATAGGATGGCATATTTTTATGCAGTCATCAATGAATTACATTGTTTTTTGAGCACTGATCATAGTTTCATTTTTTATCATAAATAAATAATTTCATACTTTTGTTAGTTAATAAGAAACAGATAAGCTCATGGTGGTCCTTTGATCAAAGTTCCAGTTTTATTGCCATGGTTCTATACACACACACACACACACACGGGTGAAGTAGATTGCTCTTATATCCATTGGCTCTGTGAAGCCCTTTTTTATCCATTTCTTTTCTTTAAATACTTTCCTTTTCCTTGCTCGTTAAGTTTGTTTATGCTATTTCAAGAGGACATACATTATAGCTTAATCATTGATTTATTAGATATAGCAGTTGTTTTATGTGTCCATCTTGGAAGTTCACTTGCAAGCACAATCAAATTATATGATTGCATCTGGCAGGCCTCACTGTTGTATAAATATGAATTTAGATAATTCTGTACATAGGAAAACATATTTATGTAACTAGGATAGTGGTTTGCCTATAAAATAGTAACATGAAGAACAAGAAGTAAATATTAACCAAGGGTTTGTGCCTTTATCCTATAAAAGTTTTCTTTTGGTTCATTTGCTGAGCTTCCATAAAAGATTTGGTTATTTGGTTTGGCAGGATAAAACGACTACTACTGAAAATCCACCCTTGAAATTCCCTCCCCCTACCTTGTCATAAGCACTCGTGAGAGTTCTTAAACTGATCTTTTTGTCCTGGGATAGTAGATTTAGCTTTTATCATAATTGTAAAGAGACTGGGCGGAAAGGGTCCTAGTATCTTCTCTTATAATATTTTTTCTATTTTCCTGTTAGCTAATGGGCCTGTTATTTCTTTTTGTTTGATCTCTTTATGTTATTGCCTAGCTGGCCGCCCACTTAAGGGCATACTTGTAATTATATTAACATTAATTTTTAGTAAAAAGGATTAGAGAAGGGAGGGAAGGATTATTCGAACTTTTCTTCTTCTTCCTCCTCTTTTCTCCATCTTCTTCTCTTGTACTGCTGCTCTTACTTTTCTTCCTCCTTTTTCTCTCTAATTTTTAAGTTTACACCTATTTTAGGACTGGTTTACATCTATAGCCTTTATTGTTTGTAAGTGAAGAAACTTAGTAAGCCTCATATACCTTTGACTTTTCTTCTTACTATTTATTTCTTGAAACTTTTGTGCTGTTCAAATGCTTCTATTCAAGTTCTGGCGTCCTTAGTATCATGAATTCATGATGAAGCATGAAAAATGATACTTATTTTACATTATGGCTTTTGAACATTGAAAATCTTAAACATTTTCATCACTTTCATTTCATGGTTTCTCATTTTAGGGACACTAATTAGCTAGTTTATCCAAGTTTAACAATTGTGCAATTTCATACTTGTTTCCTCTCCTCCTTATGATGATATTATGCTCTTTTGGCCTAGGAGTCTATGCGGTATGATCAAATTCGTGATGTAGTGGCCAAGAGAAAACCTGGCTGGGAGCACTTACAGGAAGTGGGTAGCAGAACTTTCTTACAGTACCTACTCTTGACAGATATTGAATAACAGCAGAGATTCCAAAAGTTTTAATCTTTGTAAAAATTCTGACTTTGGAAATATATTGCATTAGTAGGCTCTCATCTCCATAGATCCGGTTCGTGCAAGAGATGACCCAGTAGTTGTGAAAAACATCCCTTATTATAAAGCTAGGAAGGCTTTAGAGGCAGAAGTCATGAAGCTTGATGTCCCACCACGGCCGGATAATTGGGGTGTAAGTATTTATGTTGCCCTTTTCTTACTTTTTTAGTTCTTGAGTTCATAAATTTCCTTTGTATGTTGATCTTTATTGCAACAGAAACCAGTTCTGTTTTTTTTTTTTTTTTTTTTGCTGGATGCATGAACAAGAAAGAGGGTACACAGTTTTTTGTCTATGTAAAAATGAGTTGGAATAGGGTACAGTGACTGTGGTCACCCTTTGATACTATCTGGCAGCTCTCTATATTTATGCATTTTCTTCATTAATAAAATTTTAAATCACCAACAAAAAAGATGTTGCTTTGCCTTATAAATAAATGACACACAAAGGATTTCTACCACCATTACAAACTTTCTCACCTAAAAAAATGATATGTTTTGTCTCCTATATAATGCTATTAGTAGCATACCTGATCTTGCAGATAAGTTGCAGTATGCAATTCTGGTTATTTGATCTTGCACTTTACATTTATGCCTTATATTGGTTCTTCAACAACCACAGCTTAAGAACTTGCAGACAGAGCTCTCTTGCTTATGGATAAATCACTTTCCTTTGCAACAGGTTTCCTATATCCTATACAAAGATTTTTTTCTGGTTGGCTTCTTGTTTAAAATTAGTGAACCGGTCTAAACTCTAAACTCAAAACCATGCAAGTTTTCATGTGACTTGTATTCCCGTTTGTTCCACAATCCACAGTCATACGAGGATTCTTTCTCTTGCTGCTCAAACTCTTTATCACCACCATTTTTTTTTTTCATGTTAAACCTGCAAGCTTCAAATCTTTTGAATTTTACTAGTGTCTTCATTGCACCAATTCTTTCTTTTTGAAGTAGAAATCTAAAGGATATACTGCAATATCCTTTACCCCAAATTATCTTAGCTCCTGTGGTTTCTTTTCGTCATTTCTATCTTAAGGTTGGTGGCCAGTGGGGAGGAAAATAACTAAACAGGTGTCTTCTTGAAGAGTTTTAGCTGTTTCAGTGCAGTAATACTTTGAAATTCAAACACAAATCAACTTTAGCAAAGTAAGCCATTTCTTAGAGTTGCATGAAAGTATGAGTGGTTCTACATAACTACATAAGTTCTGCCCTTTAGAGTTGAATATCTTCATTGTATAGTGATAGCACTTTGCCTTTCTAATTTTTTTTGTCTTTTTTTGGGCTTCTTGGTCTTTGTTCATCTTCTCATGTACATCCCCCCTCTTTTTGATTTTTAATGAAAGTTATCTTTCCTCAAGGAAAAAAAAAAGAGAGGTGGATATCTGAGAAAGTTTTTGTGCTGCCATCCCTGCTTAGGTGAATTAAGGTAGATGTATGATGATGGTGAAGTGATAGTGATGAAAGAGAATGGGAGCAAAGTGTTATTAGATGAGGGAGTTTAAAAGCATTGGTTGCCAAGAAGTGTTATTCTATAAATAGTGATCCTTGCAATTGTGACTTTCTAGAAGAGAACTTGGATGTTCTCAATGCATTTTAGTTATACAACTAATGACTGATATTAGTAGTTAATGGGAGAAGAAAGTGAACTGGAAACAAACTTGCATGCCTTATGGAGTCACTTGTTTAAGTAAGAACTAGATAATGATCCCAACCCTGAGCATTGGGCAACAATATGTGTACTTTTATTTTGGGCCCACTATCTAAATGTTAGGCCATTGCCTGGTGTAATGGTATGAGAACATGGGTTCAAGTCTGAGAGCAGCCATTTTATGCAAAAAGCTGCGCAAGATTGATTAGGTCTGTATCGAGTCCACCCCTCCCACCCAGGACCCCAAATAGCTGGACCAACATTGGATAATGACCTTCTATGCATGTAGCAAGTCTCAGAAGCTTTGAGAAAAAGTAAAGTATAATTGTATTAATCAAAAGGTCCTTTGTACAATGAGAAGCTGTACAAAAACAAACCAGAAGGACCTCAAAAAGTACAATCAGTTGTATCTTCTTTAAAACCTGTATGCATAGAGTATAGGCAACCAACTTATAACAAGCCCTATAGACATGTTGATGACCTCAGCTTCAGAGGAGGATTTGTGATAAAAAAATCCTACTGTTCCTTTCAGTCTACACAGCCCAGAGATTTGCCAAAGGAATGGACGACCAGAAGACTTTCCCTTTCTTTGTCACCCCTGGTATATGCCATGCCTCCAAGAATGCTTTAACTGAGGCAAGTATGCTCCAACTTATCTTTAGGATCTTTAGAAAGTAGCTCCATATCTCTATTAAAACTTGCAATGTAAAAACAGACGACTAACTGTTTCCGCCTCCACACTACAAAGGCTGCATCTCAGGTCATTGCAAATAAAACCTCTCTTCAGCAACATTTCTTTGGTGAGGCATTTCTCTAAAGCTGCCACCCATACACAAAATTTAACTTTTGAGGGTGCCACTGTCCCCCCAAATGGCCTGGCTAGGAAAAGGGGCTTCATTTTCTCATACTATAAAGCTGTAAAAGGATTTTACTGAGAACTCTCTTGGCCTGTTCCACTTCCACATTCTTGAATCTTGAGTTTGTAAGTTCAAAGCCTGATTGTGGAGAAGAGCTAGGAGATTTCCTACCTGTTGAATCTCCCAATCATTAAAGTCCCTTCTTAAAGGAGTCCAGCAAATGTTATTACCCCTCAGTACTAAAGAGTCAGCTACCAGCACCTCTTTATCAACTGCCAAATTGAACAGAGTGGGAAGCAACTCTTTGAGAGAGCTCTTCCCAATCCAAGGATCTAACCAGAATCTGATCCTTCTACCATCTCTTATTTTAAACCTGATGCATCGTCTAAAATGGGTGGAACCGTGGAAGCCCTACAAATTCCTTTCCACAGACTGCACCCATAAGTCAAAAGGGGAGAACCACTGTCCCATCCATTATTATCCAGTCCATATATCTCAGCTATTACCTTCCTCCATAGGTTATCTGGCTTGGCAGCAAACCTCCAAAACCAACTATTTAATAAGGCTAGGTTGAAGGACTTTAAATTTCTTATCCCCAAGCCTTCTTGTGATTGGGGTTTGCGGATCTGACCCCAGTTCACAAGATGATACTTGTGTGGGTCTTTCCATCCCACCCAAAGAAAATCTCTCATCTTTTTTTTCTAAAACCTCCACTACCTCTGAGGAGATTGGAAAAAGAGCCATAAAATAGGTTGGCGGGCTTGCTAAAACACTTTTAGTAAGAGTTACCTTCCCACATTTGGAGAGAAAACTTGCTTTCCAAGTGGCCAATTTTTTATCCATCCTTCTAAGATTGGACTCCAGATGGCTTTGGATGTGCATTTGGCACCAAGTGGCAGCCCCAAATAGTTAGTGGGTAGAAGGCCTACTTTGCAGCCCAACACCAAACTCTGAATGTTAGAAACCTCTCCCACACCTATCATTTCACTTTTTGCTAGGTTCACCTTTAGCCTTGATACAATCTCAAACCAGAAAAGGAGATGCTTTAGATTAAGAACTTGATTCTCCGATGCCTTACAAAAAAAGAGGGTGTCATCTGCACACTGCAGAATAGGAATAGATGTACCATTTGGGCCCACTTCAAAACCCTCCAACAGCTCCACAGCCTTATCCACCAATTTACTAAGACCTTCCATCACTATAAAAAAGAGGAGTGGAGATGAGGGATCCCCTTGCCTTAAACTTCTTGAACTTTTGAAGTTGCCTCTAGCTACACCATTAACAAGCACAGAGAATCTTGGAGTGGAAATGCACACTTTCATCCAGCTTCTCCATCTTGAAGCTTTGTACTTCTGTTTTTCTTTTAGTTTGACTTAGAAACTAAAAAAATACATGCTAATTGGTAAGTGTTAAAAACATTTGTGTTGGGCTTTTTATTTGGCTCAGGAAACTAATTGGATTTTATTGGTGGTTAAATTTAAATCAGGAAACAGTATGTCTTTAGATTCATATAGGATCCACATTGTTTAGTCCCTTTTTCTGAGAGGAAGGCATAGCTATGTATTTGAAGAAGCCCTCCTGTATGAGGAATTTGCTATATATATTAGACAAGTTAATGACCATCCCATACTGACTATGGGGTAACTATTCCTATTTATTTTGTTTGGGACCCACTGTCCACATGGTAAATTTAAGTTAGTTTTTATTTCATTTAGGAGATTAAATCAGGTTTTATTTATAAATAACAACCTGTTTTATACAGAAGAATGGGACTGGCACCAATGGAAGGTATTAAAAGCCTTTGTGTTGGGTCTTTTATTTGAGGTAAGAAACTATGTTAAGAAAATAGATGTTTAGAAAAAAAATTATAACATTCAATAAGAAGGGTATGTGTATTTCTGATCATTGTTAATACGGGTCCCACACTCCTCGAAGTAATTAAGTAAATACATTTATCAGTGGAGATAACCACCCTTAGAGTGTATACTTTTTTTTGAGAGGTGAGTTTAACCACATGTCTAATGAAGTCCTATGATATATATATAATTGCTAAATCATTTCTTATTGCTTCTACCCAAGCCCCTAGCTCTTCTAGTCCCTTCAACTTGTAACAGATCACCCTTTGCTAAATCATTTCTTATTGCTTCTACCCAAGCCCCTGCTATTGATGGTCTTCTTTGCACATGACGTAACCATCTCAATCTACTTTTTCCCATTTTATCACCTATTGGAGCTACTCCAAGGTTCCTTCGTATGACTTCATTTCTAACCCTGTCCTTCCTAGTTCTACCACTCATCCATCTAAGTATTCACATTTCTGTCACACTTATTATTTTTGGCATGCTGTTTCTTAACTGCCTAACACTCTACTCCATACAACATAGATGGCCTTACAAATATTTTATAGAACTTTCCTTCTAGCCAAAGTGGTATTCGCCTATCACATAAGAATATGGATGCATCCCTCCATTTTTTCCCATCTTTCTCTAATTCTATGGGCAACATCCTCCTCAATCTCATATTTGTTATGAATTATTCAACCAAGGTATGGGAAGAGGTCACATTGAATTTCTCCAATCTTAAGTGTGCAATGAATGTATCCTTACTCCTTTGGTCATAGGTGAGGAATTGGTTCTAAAGAACTTTTGAAGGGCATGTTTAGGGTCATTACTTGGTATAATGATAAAATCTCGGATTGGCAAGGGTGAGAATGCATGTTCAAGTATGAGGGCAGCGGGCAGCCACTTAGTGTGAAAAGAAAATGCCAAAGGTTGGAAGTATACCTAATTTACCCCTCCCAAGACCCCAAATAGCTGGGACCAAGACCAACATTAGGTAATGGCCTTTAATTTTGTAAGGGCTCATGCTGTTATGCCTGGTGCATGGTTTCTCAAAGAGTGGGAGAGGACTTTGGGTTTTGACTCCTTTTAATGTTGGTGTAAATGTAAAGAGTAAAGTTTGAGAGTATTGGAAATGGAAGTTTCTTAGATCAAAGGGTCACTAAAATCCTCTTTGATCTTCCACTTTTTCAAATTTTAATCAGTCACTTTTTTCATATTTTTGTGATGATTGGAAAAGCACATCTTCTCTTTTGATGGAATGTAGAGATTGCATATGTTGTACATGACATGAGTAATAACATAACAGACCATACAAGTAACGTATATGATGCTTTGCCCCATTTAGCTTTTTGGTATATGATTAAATACTTATCAAAGGGGAAAAACCATAGTTTAGGACTTTTGCTGAAACAGTCAGATTTTGGCCAGAATATGTTGTTCTTTGGTGGTGACCTTCTTTAGTCTTAACTACTCAAACAACCATCAATCCCTAACACTCATCCTGGATTTACAAGCTGACGTCGCACTAAGTCCAAAGTTCAAAACCTTTCTTAATATGGAGTATTGGCAGGAGCTGAACCTTCCATTGGATGCATCTTCTTGGAGTGATGAAGAGCTCAAAGATCCAAGGAAATTATATGAGATGACTGTTCTTCTCAATGCTCAGAGAGAAATGGCTGATAAAATCTTGGACTCACAGTGGGAAGAAAAATGGCGCCAAGAGAAGGTGCGTAGCCTTTTCATATGCCCTTACTTGATTACCTTTGGTTTCAAATTTTCAATATTTTGCATGATTTGTAGTCATATCACATAAATATATACTGCATCATAATTATGCAAGCATGCATCTTATTTTATGTGGTTGAATTAAAAAATTTGACAGTAGCCAAAAAAGTTAAATTTTTTGCTGTGTTACATATATCAAACATTACTTTTGAACACTTCTTTAACAAATATGCATAGGGAAGCTCACAAGGAACTATTTCTTATGGGGACTAACCATTTTTGCTGACAATAAATGCATTTAAGATGTATTTCTATAATAATACATTCCGAGCTAAAGGTGCCATGCTCAAAGATTAATAAAATATCATAGCTCATTAAGCCAATATTTCAGATTTTAAGTTGGGCTAATTCGTTAATTGAAGCAACCTAAGTCCACTATATAAGATTAGAAACATACTCAAAAACCATCTGTTTGCACTAGTAGATAATGAGCTCTGCTAGCACCAATAGAACCTAAAACTTTGGGTTTGTTTTGAACCTTGTAAACTGATCATAATCTCAATCCTAGTTCGTTTAAGCCTAACATTCAGCAAAACCAGACCAAATTCCAAACCATCTTTCCTTTGGTGACAATAGACTGTCGATCTTGAGGCTTGAGTTGCATATTTTTGGGCCTATTGTATTCTTATCAGTGTACCTAGATACACTTGGATACACCGATACACAGTTTTTTTAAGCATTAAAAACATTCCAATGAAAGATTAAAGGGATAAGTGGACTGCAATCCACCTCAGAAATCTGAAATTGCAGCCCCCTCCTAGTCTACTAGTAGCCCCCCCTATAAACTGCGTCCTGCCCGTGGATTTGGCATCAATCCACGGTCAGGATTCAGTCCACCCCTAGAAATCTTAGCTCCACCCTAGGGGTGGACTGAATGGTTAAAACCCCAAGATTAAAACCCTCTAATGATTATAAAATAAGAAAAAAACCCAAGATTAAAACCCTCTAATGATTATAAAATAAAAAAGAAAGTAAAAAAAAGAGAGTATTGGTCATATCGATACAGAATCCAGAACTTAATAATTGCAGGAGACTAGGCAAATACTATAAAATGGTTATAGGAAAAGGAGGGGGGACCTTGGAGACTGAACCATTACTTGGCAGAGGCTAGGGACTCCCTGAACTGCCTAAATGCAAGACTAACTTGGATTCCTAGGGAACTAAATCACATAGCAGATGGTTTAGCCAAATGGGGTGTATTTCTGGAAGAACTGTATTGTGATAGAATTCCTCCTCTGTAAGCTTTGGGGTTCTACCCCTGCCATGTACATCTTCTCATGTACTTTTCTTGCTTTAATGAAATTTGGTTATTCTTTCCTCAAAAAAATTGGTCATATCGATACACACCAATACCTAACTTTGAGTATCGGGCATATTGATATTCTGATCCTTGATTAGGCTCAGGTTAGGGTTCAGGCCCATTGAAAATTTAACAAATTCCCAACCCAACCTGACCTAAGTTGCACCCCTAGGACAAGTCCAATTTTAATTTACACAAGGTATCTTATCCGGGGAGTGACAAAACTTTGGCAAGATAAGCTTGACTGAAACAACCTAGTCTTACCCAGGGACTAACCTAAAAGCAGCTATGTGCAAATGCGTACAACATTATATTACTTGAGAGATGGGATTTGGGAAGCATAGAGTCATTTCTTTGTAGACCTGTTATATTTATGTCTCAAAGACAAAAAGGAGAAAAGCTAAAAAAAAAGAAAAGAAAAAATGACATGTATCTTATCTAGAGGATCCAGACTTTGTTTATAGAGTTGGTTTCCATGTTTATCTTGGAAACTTGGGAGTTATTGTACTATGTACACCACATTGTTAATGTAATTCAATGCAAAAAGGAATCTAATTATAGAAATAGAAATCCAATAAAAAAGGGAAGATTTTTTTTAATTAGATTACTACAAATAGTATCTTTTGTTTTTATTGAAGGGCAAATGAAGTCATGAAAAATCTTAAACATGGGCAGTGAAGTAATTGGGATTTAAACTATTTGTACTACTATTAATAGTAGAATAGATTTTCATATTGGAGGAAACTTGTGAATCTACTAGAGGGCCTCTTGAATCCAAAAAAGAAGATTGAGAAAATTCACAAAAAAAAAAAACTAAAATTCCATTTAAAACTACAAACTCATTATGATGCTTTAATAGCCACTATTTACAAGATATAAAACTATTGCTAAAACTCAATATCCAGTCCCAGTGAAAATATTGTATCTAAAAGCCAAATCTCGTGATTAATAATATCCTGTCAGTGAAATAGTCACAATTTGTTAAAGTCATGTTGTATTCGTGAGATCTTGGTCTTGTTAGCGAACTGATAAATCTATTCGATGAAACCAAAGTCATGAAAAAAGGATTTGCTTTGGCCTTAATAAAAAAAGAACAAAATTGGTAGAAAGGACACACAGAACTACTAAATTAAAATTTTTTTTTTTGAAAAAAGTTAATGTATTGGACTTGTACATTACTAAATATAATAAGAACTCTTCTTGTAAACAAAACAATCAGACTTGACTTTACTTGCCCTACATCATAGCTTTGGACATTTTCTGGAAGTTATTCATCAGAAGGTAAATATCTAAAATGCTACTTGTAGAAAAGGACTAGGGGTATTGGGTACCACTAATACCCAATGCATGCACATTAGACCTGGCAAAGAGTTGACCCAACCCAACCCAAAACAACAGGGTTAGGGTCTCATATTTAGCCACGCGAATGTGAAATGGCCCGACCTGACCCGACCCGAAAAAAACCGGGTTGGGTTGGGTCATGGGTCAACCCGCTGACCTGATTGTCAAGTCTAATTGGGATTATTAATGCATTGTTAAAAGATTCCATTCTTTAATTTTTTCTATTTAGTCTCTACTTTTTATTGTTTACTCTTTAAATTGTTAAATGTTCAAGCTTTTATTTTATATTTGGAATTTTAAGGTTAATTCTTTTAATTTTGACATTTTTCATGTAATTTTTCTTTATTTTTTTAAATCTCAAATATTTTTTTGGGATGACCCGAAGTGACCCATGGGTCAACCCTAACCCGAATATTTAGGGTTAGGGTCTAGCATTTGACAACCCAACTCGAAATTCAACCCGACCCGAAATCAACCCGAAGTACCTTGACCCAACCTGAACTCGACCCACCCAACCCAATTCCAGGTCTAATGCACATTCATATCATTGAGAGAGAAGGGCAATCTTCCCCAAACAACAAAATGATCCTAGTTTGTCCTTTGACTTTTTAATGTTACACATGTCTAGACTGTAGATGAGTTTCCTGGTTCCATATTCATGGTGGCTGACGATGGTGGCAAATTTTCAAGGTAACAAGGATCCATGGTTATTGGGTATAAGGGGTACCTCTGTTCCATATTCTTTTATTACAATATGTGATATCTACATTTCTTTTTTTTCCTGGAAGAGGTCGATAAGTATTTTCTAGTAGTAACTGCTACAATTTTATTTTTGCCAAGCTCTAAAAAATCCGAGGCCTTTAAATGACTGTAAGGTATTTAAATTATTAATAATTATTTTCTAGAGATCATAATATCTATAATTTACAACATACGTTCTAGTGATGATACAAAAAATGTGTTCTCCTGGTCATGAGTGCAAAGACATTTCACATCCACTTACCCGAGGTGGGATAATGTGCATATGTGGGTAAAGTTATTGCTATTGCAATTACTTCCGAATTATTCAGAAGATTCCAAGTATTTGTGTAAGTTCAAGTTCTGAATTATTTGAGCCTGTGCATAACAATACTGTTCTCCATTCTCAATTTCAGTTGAATGAGCTACTGGAAGAGAAGGTACGGCCGTACATACAGAGATTGGACACTGGTGTTCTTCCTCGGCCTATTATTATACGGTCTCAACATCAAGAAAACAAGGTTTCTCTCTTCCTGTTTTGTACCTTTGGAATCTCTATAATTATCATTTTTGCACATTAATTTTAATTTTGGTAGCACATATAGAAATATCAAACAGGATTTTCTGGATTGTATCCTAAAATTGTACTCTTCAAATTTATCCTGCCCTCCAAGTGGATTGGCCATTTTGCTTTTTATCCCTTTTATGGGGAATTTCTTATGGAAGTCCTAACCTCCGATAATGGCCAAATCTAATTCTGGAATTCAAATAAAAAGGATCAAATAGGATTTTTGACAGCTTATTTCTGTGGGAAATTATATATTGAATTCCTATTTATCCTATGGATTTGTATGCAACGTTTCCCATGCAGTGGCATCATATGAGATAGAGAACATGTTCTGATTCTCCCCTTGATATTGCAAGGGAGTCGCATGATATTTTATGGGGCCTACACATGGTTTTGAACATGTACATGTATTAGTGGTAACCAAACAGCACCCATGGGCTAAAATCATGCATCAAATTGTCAGATTTCAGACCCACCGCTGTCAAATGGTCTTTTTGATCTGCTTTTCAGGAAGCTCTTCTAATAGACAGCATTACCAAAGATTTTTAATGTTCAAAACAAGGTTCAAAGCATTGATGCTCTTGATACACAAAATTTATGTATGGAGAGTTTCACTTGATTGATTTAGAACAAATAAAACCAACCAAATGTAGCATTTAGAGTATCCGTGGGTTGAAAAACAGATATATTGTATGATACAGACTAATAGGTTCCAATATTTTCAACATTAATTCAAATATCAACTCTGAAAAACTCAGTAGGTCACTGATCAGGAAAAAAAAGCTCAGGAAGTCTTGGAGCTTATGAAAGATCTTTTTAGAAAGATTTGCCAAATGCCACCTTTGTAAGAGACCGGATTAGCTTTATTTGATAGCTGTTTTACTGGCTGTGGGACCAATCATTTTGTTCCACGCCATTCATAAATGCAAGTGAGAGATTGAGTGGTTGTGGTCTGCATGCACTTTATGACTGGCATGAAGCAAAATTATTGGTCCCACACCTAATAAAATAGCTATCACATTCAGCTAATCGGTTCTTCCTTTGTAAGGGAAAGAAGCTCTATTTGGGGTGCCTTTCCACCCCCACTCCCCCTTTTGCATATGCTTTTTAAAGCTTATTTTTGGTGAGATGTTTAATGTTGATGATTTGGCAAAGGTAGCCTGAGAAGTGTATATTCTTGAGAAAGTGCACTGGGTGTTTTTGAAGAATCACTTGCATTTGCATGTGAAAATGTTACAGCATGAAACAGTGCAAAATGATATGTTCTTTCTATTCTACCTTGAATTTAAGAAACTAAGATAAAAATTTCTACTACTCAAAAGCTGACCAAAATTCAATGCTATAATAGAAGCATAGTTTTTCTAGTCTGTCTGGTTTGTTGATAGGAACTTCCTACATTTAAGACTAATTTGTTGGTTATATTATTTCTTACTAATTTGGAACTTTGATAAGCTTAGTGCTCTTGTCCTACAATTTACTAATCAGTATCTAACCAACTGAATGTTATGTGTATTCTGCTCAAAGAATTGAAGCTTCGTTTTATTTTTCTTTCAATTGCAATAAATTTCTCCTCTTTAAATACTGCAGAAAAGGACAAAACGGCGCTGGTGGCTATTCTGATTATCAGATCATGATGACGGATTTTGCCATGCTTCCCCCCTTTTCTTTATTGCTGGATTTACATCATGTTTAATGTATTTTGAGCATTTCTCTTTCCAAAGTATCCTCTTATGTGGCTCAATTTTTGCATCTTTCAGCAGTACCTGTTATTTATCCAATGCACAAGGAAAAAAACCTGTACATTGAGGAAACTTCCAAATGTTGCAGCAAGATGTATTCAATATAATAGCAAGCTGACCACTTTGTGTTGGTCTCCTTGTTTGTTTGCCCCACTTAAGTCATTTATTAGTTACCGGTACAAGGCCAGAACTCAGAGCTCAGGAGCAAGGACTGAAGTCCAGGCTAAATGGGTCTGAACTTTGGATCATCCTTTAGCTGATTGAATCCTTAGTTAGAGCAACAGAGATTGCACAAACGGTATCAATTTGATTCAACAGGTTTTTCAATGTTGACCCATGGGAAAGGACCTCTATTTGCATGACTTTCTGAACTGAACTGATGGGCATGGTTAGGAAGTATGATAACTTGAGTCAGGAGAGTGGAATGGGCTGGAGAATGTTAAACCAACACGGTCCGACAGTTATTCTGGATGAGCTTGATAACTCATTATTGGGAAACGGATTTGGAATCGTCTTCGCTAGGACAAATGATCATCGAATCAAATGGCCAAATTCTACTGATTAAATGAAAGAACACAACCACATCCACATGAAGGAATTGAGGGAAAATGTTCACATGCAAAATTGTAACAAACAGAATCCTGATCTATGTACTTAGCCTTCTGTTTTCTCTCCTCGCTTCCAATCCATCATGTAGATGAAGAAAATATAGAAGAACAAAAAACGCTGCAAGATTGTATGAACAATGAAATCCATTTCTTTGTTTCATCCACTAGAGATGGGGTCGCCTGAAAAACAAAAATCGTGTGAACACTCTTTAAGAGCATGGCATCCATAGGCACTTGTCAGAACATCTCCCCATATGGGGAGATGTGATGGCTGGGTGCTGTGCTCTCAAGAGTGTTTGCACGGTTTTTGCTTTCACAATAATGCAATATTTGGGCTCTCGGCAACATACGCAATGAGTAGAGCTTCTGAAGCCCCATCCAGTATTTTTGTGTTTGGTACCATTGCTTTTTCAGTTTTTCTACCTGAAATGGTTTGGGCTAATCAATACGAACTGGTGAGAGTTGTATTGTTACAGTGCATATCAGAGTCACTAGCTAGAATGTTTAGACGGTCACCCCTTGGAGCTAGAAACTTCAGTTTGATATTTTTAGTCTTTCACACATGAATTTTTTTAAGGTATACTTGTTGCAACTATAAACAGCCTCAAATAATATTTATATGCTAATTTTGTATTGATCAACCCAAAATGTTTCAAGTAAAAACAGTAATGGTGCCGAACACAACCTAAGCTTTTATTATAGTCATTAAAAGATACATGCAGGGGTAGAGTCAAGTATATTGGTGGGGAGTCCTTGGCCCCCCAAACTTATTGTTAAAACTATCATTTATATAGCTAAGTGGAGGCTAGGCTAAAAACATTGCAACTTGACAACTCAAAACATGAATTGAAATGTCAAGGATCAATCTCTAATTCTCCTCAAACTCTCAAAAAAAAATGTTTATTTTTTCTTTAAAAATATCTGTAATAGACCCAAACCTCCCCACCCCATTTCTCTTGGAACCCTACCTCTTCTACTCTTTATTTCATTTTCTTGTTTAACTTGGTCCATCCAAAAGAAAATTCTTAGCTCCACCACTGCATACATGAATTATTAATGTAATGAAACACAGATGTTTAAACAAAAATGCTTTGGCAGCAATTAGAAGTAAACTGAACTTTTATTTACGATTTCTTGGAAAAGAAATGCTCTAAAGTTCAATTTTTTTACATGCATGCAAATTGCAAACCAAGTGCAATTTTATTCCACTAGTCCACGTCCTTGTGAAACATGAAGCTATGAACATGTACCACATCAGCCATATACAACGCTAATAGGATTTACCCCCAAGTCTTGCTACAACCAGTCAAAGATCTTGCCAAATGTTGTTATTGTCATAATTTTGGTACTCAAGGTTTAGTTTTGCTTTATTGGATAAATACAACTAATAATTTTAGTGGACCAAATCAGATAATATCAGTGTTTTCAAACTGCCATTATTCGGCTGTTTGGACCGTTCAACTTGTTACCCAATTACATTTTCCGGTCCAAGCAAATCTTAAACCCATTGGTTTGGTCAGAAATCCACTGACCCGGTGGTCAAACAATCAACATGGGCAACGGGTTGTCACCTACATACATTGCATCTTTTTCCTCCAAATCTATATATATATATAAAGGAATGTCTTCATGCTACAACACCCACCATTTAGACATTTAGCCTTTTCATTTTCTCTAAAAATCTAAACACGTGGCATTTTCTGAAAAATTGGTAAAGCCCACAACCCACTACCACCATTCAAACAAGTGGCCTTCTCATTTTCTGGAGAGCTAGACACATGGCAATTTCTGAGAAATTTCTACTAAATCCCACAGCCCACTACCACCATTCAGACACATGACATCTTATTAATTTAAGAAATATGATTCAAAAAATGGGTAGTTTCACTCCTAAACATTCTCAATGGAATGGACAATTATTTATTAGCTTAACACATATTTATCCATAGTCTATTAAATACAAATGGTGGGACCCATTAAAAGATTACTATAAACCCATGTTTGTTTTTAAATGATTTTTTCAAAAATAAAATACTTTATTAATTATAAACTTGATTTAACTTTTAAAAATAAATAACTCAAAATAGATTTATTAGGTAAATAGTAAATAGAAAAGAAAGTGGGTTATTGTTTACCAATAAGATCTTATTTAATTTCTTAAATCAAATTAAAAAATATATAAATTTATAGTGGGTTTCGAATAAAATAGGATTGTCAATTACAAAGATGCAAGACCTATATTAGTTTTTTTTTTAATTTAATTTTTTATAGATAAAAAGTAAACTTCAAACTAAATTATACACACATTTAGTTACCCTGTACTTAGCACGGGGTCATTCTCTAGTTCTTGGTTAAAATATATTTAAAGCGATACTTGCATCCCTGTCCTAACCTTGTTTTCACTCTCTCCGAAACTCCAAAAATGAATAAATCATTTTCTCACTCTCCTCTCTCTTTTTTTGTTCTTGGCGCTAGAGACCTAGAGTTCAAGCCTTAGTTCGAAGAAGGCATGAAGACTAAGAACTGAAACTATTCACAGTCTTGCATTGGCAAAGTGAAGCTCTGGCCTTTGAGTTTTATTGGTCCAACTTAAGTCTCTAACAAATGAAGCCATTAATGCTGGTGAACACCTGCTACTAATTTGTGATTAGGGCAACGATTTGTAGCAGTCAACAACTCTTTTTGCAGCGCTGGTAGTAAGTTTCTTAGATTCTTTTTCCACAAGAATGGAATCTGAATCCAATCTTGTTTTCCTCTTTGTTGTTTTAAATGTTGCAAATTTCTCCTATTTGTTGTTAAACCCTTTTGGCAAGAAATTAATTGGGTCTTTGGCACCGGAGCATTTCACAAGCATTCCGTTTTGGCAAGAAAATCACATTTGACAATGCTATTTTCATTTTCATTTTCTTTTTTTTTTTTTTGATTTTTGCAATGATTAGCTATGGGGTTCAAGAAAGGAGGGGTTTTTTGAATTGTCAAATTGACGTTTTTTAAATCGCCTTGTATACGTAGCACATTGAAATTTGAAAAACCTGACATCTTTTATGAGATGTCATACAACTGTCATTATAAATATATTATAATATTAAGCCAAATCACTTTAAACGCCCTATCGATTTGTACATTATTATTTTTTTTTGTATTTTTCAAAAAAACAAGTGAAATGAAACACTTATGAATCGGGGTCCTTTGTAAAATGGAATGCTTGTAAAACGCTTCGTTCCAATTGATTTAGTAGGTGTTTGGCATCAGTGATAGGAACATCACATCGTTTTCTGAGAAAAACAGTGATGGGCATGTAGAGTTGTAAGCACTTTTTTTTGTTGGGAACCGGTGATGGTCTATATTATCCAACGTCCAAGATGATGCCACATTTTGTTTGGTACTAGTCTGGAGCAACATTTTTTCTAGAAAAACGATACAAAACAAGAGGGTGTTAATGTTTGAAGTACCGCTTTTTTTGATGTGGTGCTTACATGGCACCATTTTCTCAGAAAACAACATCAATGCCAAACACCCACTTAGACATCACAATTTGACCTGTTTGATTTGGACGGCAAAACCGCTAACCCGTGATTCGCAAAAAAGTAGGCACCCTCGTATCGATTGTATGTTGTAACTAGTAAAAATTGGGGGATAAAATATTCGAATTGGGTCTATATCTATATCTATATAAATGTATTAAGCTGAAATGTGTATGAATAAAAGTCTAAGAATGCAAGAAATGGAATCTAATAGTAATTTTTTGCCTTTTTTCTTAGAAATTACAAGAATGCCACATAAAGACAAACCACTTTATGTGTTTGACTTATAATTGCCCCTTTATTATTTGAAAATTATATGATTACCACATATAAGACAAACCTTCCAATTTGTAATTGCCTTTATAGTATTTAAAAATTATAAGACTACCACATATAAGACAAATTTACTCTCTTTACAGCAATACCTCTATGACATTAGAAAATTACAGCAATGCCATATATAAATATTTACGATTATGCCATCCTACAAAATAAAATGTCATCCCTTTTCTCTCTCCCTTAATTCTTTCTCTCCTCCTATTCTTTCTCTCAAATTTTATTTATTCATTTATTATTTTTATTATCTAAGCATTCATTTATTTAATAAAATAAAATAAATTACTTTATATCAATAAAATAAAAGAGATTTGACATTGAGAAAAGATTTTAATAGACATTTATTTATTTATTTTATTAAATTTATTATTATTATCTAAGCATTTATCTATTTAATAAAATTCAATAAATTATTTATAAATCAATAAAATAAAATAGATTTGATATTGAGAGAACTATTTTAATATACATTTATTTACTTACTTTATTAAATTATTTATTTATTTTATTATTATATAAGCATTTATTTAGTTAATAAAAGTAAATAAATTATTTATAAATCATTAAAATAAAGGAGATTGACATTGATAGAAAGATTTTAATAAAAAATTGTTTATTTAGAAATAATTTACTAACAAACTATTCTCTCCCCTTGAGCCCAATATTTAGGTAGGGTTGTCAATGAGTCAG